TTCTCAAAGCACCATCCTAGGATTATAAATATAGTTGCTCAGAAGAAGATCTAGAACAAACAAAAGAAAGTAGTCTTTCACATAGGAAAACATTTACTATAGAATTCATTATAAGACATCCTGGTGGTTATTAACTTGAATGTTTTTAAGGGAGGACTAAAATATTCACTGGGGTTAGGTATATGAAGGGCTATTAGTTTCTGTTAGGCATGCCTCCAACTACAGTACAATAACTTGGGAGGGGGACATGTCTCCATCTCGTGTTTGCAAGAGGCCATTGTAAGGAACAAAATCCTTGTTCAACACAGACCTTGTCCTAATCAAGTACGGATATTCTTATATTCTTCTTAACCAATGAAATTAATTGTGGTGATCTCCTCCCAGCCACTATACAGCAGTTAAAGCATGCTCTGTTTTGGTAGGATTGAGGGGAAAAAGAGATTTAATGAAAAATAAAATTGTATTTTCTATGAATTCTAATTTCGGTTACTTTTTTATTCATTCCGCAAATTAATAAAAATTATAATAAATAGGAAAATCAATCAAGTACTAATTAATGTATTCTACCATGTAAATTAGTATTGTAGTACATCTTGTTTATTTTATGATGGTTGCTAACTCTTTGTCTTAAAATCCATAGTTACTTAAATATTTATTTATTATTAATAGCAGGTTTAAAACTTTCTTCTACTTTCTATGTATGTGTTTTTTATTTGACAATGCATGCATTGGTGTTTTTTAATTTATCTTTCATTATTTTAAAAGCAGTAAAAATTAATTTAAAAAGACTTCACTCTATATGCTAAAATGGGTAAATTGGATATCAGATGACACATCAGAGCAGCTGAGAGGTAAACAATGATTTGGAAAGGAGAGTTGATTACTGCAAGAATGACCTAGTTAGCAAATACAATTTTTCTGTTTTTCACTATTAAAAAAATGTGCCACTACTCTCCAGAATGCTTGCCTTGTGTAGTGTGTTTCTGTTACTACACAGTACCACCCTCTAGGATTTCTTTTTCCCAGGTTTCCAAGCACTATTGTGCTTCCCCTGCCACCAGATGTTCTGCAGTACTTATTAATTAGAGGACATAATTTCCATATGGATGTTTTCCAGAAAAATCTTGCACACTTGCCATAGAGACCTTGCAATAGATTTGATAATGGCCTGCTGGATATACACTGAGTACCACTTTGTGTAAACCAGCATCAAGTCACACATTGTATTAACTGTGTAATGCTGAGCTAATTCTGCTGTTTATCTACCCTTAATAAAAAAATAAACACTGTTATATGGATTTGAGTGGTTAAATCTTTCTTGTTTTGTTTAACTCTATCCAAACTAACCTGAAGCAGCTTGAAGAGATGATGATGGATTAAACCACACAAAACAATACATGGTGTTTCTGATCTGAATGATTGTAACCCTGCGCATTGAAGAATTTTGTGGCAAATCACTAGATGAGACTTCAAGAAAAGTTGTAGTGCTGTTAATGAATGGCTGGAATGCAAAAATTGTAGATCCGGAGGTACAATATGTAGAATTAGAAAGATTCAGATTGGGTAAATGTAATAATGTGACAGATAGGCTAATAGACTTTTGTAGAAAGATTTCTTGTGTACTGCCAGCATTTGTTCAATATAAACAGACTCTAGATATAGACATCACCATATGGACAATACTGAAATTAAATAGACTAAATAATGAGAAATAGAAGCTGGAGAAATGTATTCTAGTCAGACAGGAAAGGCTAGGTACAGATTGTAGAGCAAACTATAAATTATTGGTGTCAGATATACAGATTATATTTAGAGCATTAAGTGAGTAGGTGTGCCAGCAAGCTCTCACTTGAAGGTCAGTCAGAATATAAGATCAATGTAAGGAACAGATTCAGTATAATAATTCATTCAATAGCAAACTAGGAACTATGAGAAGAGATAAGAGAGATTATGAAAGTTGAAGTGGAAAAAATATTCTCGGAGTATCAGTGAAGAAAGGATCCGAGTGCTTTCAGACTAAGCTATCAGAAGAGCCAGGAAAGGGAGAGAAAATAAAAACCTATGGCAACAAACCCATACAATGACTGAACAGACTTTTAGTAGAAGAGTGAAAGTACAAGAAAAGATGTAGCAGTCAAAATGTCAAGAGGTAAAGGAAATGAACAAGAAAATGAACATTTACTAAAAATATGCCTTCAGAATCAAAAGGATTACAAGAAAACTAGAGAATAGGCACTTAAAATACTAACATTTTATTGGTGGGTGAGGGTAGTTACTGTTTTTTTATTTTCATTTTTTCTATACTGCATTTTTATTGCCTGTAAGCCACATAGAGTCACTGAGTAGGTGGCTATATAAGTTTTCTAAATAAATAAATAGCATGTCAACAAATATGGAACAAGAAGGAATGAGATAGATTGGTGGTATATATACCTATACAGAAGAAGAAGTAATCGAGAAGTTATAAATTACACAATGTTTCTTCACATAAGCAGAATTTTGCTTAAGATCATGCTTGCAGATACAAATGCTGCTATAAAAGAAGATTTTTGACAAGGCAGAGACATATGAGATTAAATAACCAACAGGATGAATATAGGGAAAGCAAAAACATTTAAAAGTGGTTGATCTTTGCTTTTTCGACTACTTTAACTGTATATCGGGCCAGACGGTTTCACACTTCCAGATTAATGGGAGTACTGGAATACATGATTATAGATCTGAAGATTTGTTGCAATAAATGACAATAGACATGAATTGGCAGTGATTTGGTAGGGAAAATAAACTGAAATAAGAATGCCTATCATCTCCATATCTCTTTTCTTCCGTGAATATAAGTGGCAGATTGAAAGAAGTATTGGTGGTCCTATTTTGCTAAAAAAAAAAGGCAAAAAAAGATCCAAAAAACTCACTGAAATCACAATTAAATGGCAACTAAAATGTCATGGGAACTGGGCTATCTGAGGGATCATTTCTCTCTAGTTAAATTGACCTGCTTGTAAAATCTAGTTGAGAAGACATGCTGAAAGGTGCCATCAGCTGTTGAGGCCCAAGAGACATACTTTTGCTGCCGAAGTGCCTTCTTTATGGAATATTCTTCCCCCTGAAATTAGATTAGTCCATCCAACTTTCACTTTCACCAAATGTTGCAGGAAATGGTCTGCACAACTCTGTCCTTGGAGGTATACACCCATCCAGAGGTGGTATTCAGCTGGTTCTGACCAGTTCTGGAGAACCTGTAGCAGAAATTTTGAGTATTTCAGAGAACCAGCAAATACCACCTCTGACTGGCCCCGCCCCCATTTATTCTCTACCTTCTGAGTCCCAGCTAATTGGCTGGGTCTTCTGTTATTGTTCTGCACAGGAGAACGGAGGTGGAAAGCAGGTTAGTGGGGTGGGGAGGGAATGGGATTTTGCAGTAACCTTCCCCTGCCATGCCCACCAAGCCACTCCAGGCCTATCAAACCACGCCCACAGAACCAGTAGTAAAAAAAATATATTAATCCCACCACTGCACCTATCTTTTCCAAGGTCTATCAGATCTGCCAAGTGCTAGTCGACAGTATATTTTCTGTGTCTATAATAAATCCTAAATGGCAAAAGCTATCCACCACTTCAGTATTTTCATTATCAATTTTACGGCTGGTTGCTGTGCCTGTTGTTAGTTTGGTCTTCTTTATATTTGAACTTAGTCCCATGTTATTATTATGCAAATAAGCATAATAAGCAATAAATATAATTAGTGCATCCTGGTATATGATATATATATTATACATTATAACTTAGAGTAATATTTAGTCACAGCAATCTATGGGATTGGTGTCACCCATCTTATCCAAGCATAACTGTAAGGAGGATATTAGAAGTTACAGTTTTTCATCAAATCCAGACTGCTTGGTTAATTTTAAATGTTTCTGTAACGAACCAGTGTCAGATCTTGCTTTATGAGGCTCCCTGTTTTTACAAGATCACCATGTTTCAAGGGTATTTAAGTAAAACTAAACACTTGATTTTTTGTGTGTGTGGCTGTTCTAGAGAAGAGAAGCTAGTCTTTTAATGATATATAACATTGTTTATTGTATTCCAACGTAACCAATATTGATTATAATGGCAAGGAATTTTTATAGAAATAGACCTAGCTTTTCTCTTCAGAGTTTTATAGAAACAGATATAGGAATAACGGACCAAGTAAGCGCTGAAGAATTTGTTATACTGTATAAATTCAAGAGTTACAAAAACCCCTCAAGTGAAGAACAGGAGGTCTGGAAAATCTAGTTTATGGATTAATAATAGTATCCACAGGTCTGTGGGCTGTTTTACATTATGCATAGGTATTCTCTGGAAGGAGAATATCTCATAAATTTGAATCTAAGGGATTCTTTAGAAAGCCCATGCAACTTAAAATAATATCCATATACTGGTTATGCTGAAGTTCAGTCCATTATGTGGATTGATTCAGCAAGATGTTGATAGAGTAGAAATTTGATGCTGAGGTCTGATTTATTGGGGTGTATGGGAATTGATCTTATTCAATTATTCATGAACCTTCTGAATAACTATTTACCCAACAATATCAATAATAGACCCATTTCCTAAAGTTGACATACATGATAGCTGTGTGTTAAAAATGGAACTACTTCGTCACTAAATCATCATTTGTATGAAAATTCTACAGATTTCTCTCCTTGAAACCCATGTTGTGTTTGTACATGATAAAGGAATTGTTTAAATTAAATTATTCCTTTATTTTGTGTGTTGTGACAAAATTTGCTGATTAAAAGAAAGCTTTAGCCATTAAAGCAAGATATTTTTTAAAATAATGTTATAGAGGTTAAATAATATAAATTCCTTTTACAATAGATAAGAATTTATGTAATAAGGAAAAGGACCACTAAAGAACACACTTCTTTTTAAATATTTTACTGTGGAACACATTAGTAATAGCCATTTAGCTCATACACCTATTGATTTTTTTCTTATTCCTCTTTTTTATATCACAGATTTTTAAAAGTGTCTTGACTACAAAGCTGGAAGGTGGATTATTTTTCCCAAAAACACAAAGACCATGTGTGCTTACCTGTAGAAATGGTTTGCGGCTTAGTCAAGCTGGAGTTGACTAAATGAAACTATGGGCTGTGCATCAGCCAAGCATGTTTCTGCTGTACAAAATGAAGAGGAAGCTCAGAAGGGGAAAAGCTACCAGAATGGAGATGTATTTGGTGGTGAGTTTTATTTATTGTGGATCTATATTTTTCTTCACCCTTCTTACTTTCCTGTCTAAAATCTATTTGTGTATTGTTTCTCAACATTTAATTTCAAAGGATTTATTTTTGGAATGCAACTGGTAGTACTGATGAAAGAGGTAATCTCCCTTCAAATCTGTGCTGCTTTCTAGGTCCATCTTCTAATTACAATGTTTGTAAAAATGTGTTCAAACTATATGAACAGTATCTGCTGATACCTATTATAGCAACCTTTTTCTCTTCTGAGATATTTCTAGTTATTTGGGTTGGGGCTTTTACTGCATCTTTTGTTCCCATAAGGCCCTTTACCTTCTGGAGAAGTAGAATAATAATACAACTGTAAGAATATTCATGTAAGTTTTCATATAATTTTCTAGACAGTACTTTTTTTCCTTTTAAAATGTATGTTGTTTTGGTCCAAAATTTTGTGTGTGTATGTGCGTGCGCACATGCGTGTGTGTGTGTGTTGTTTGTGAACAGTGCAGAACATATACATTCCTGATGAGAGTTGTTCCTTAGGATCTTGTTGAATTGCAAATATTTAAGGTAAACAATAAGACATTTTCACTGAAATTGTTGAATAAGTCATATTTTCTCTGAAATCTTTCTCAAAGTTAAATGAAAAAGGGATATGTTTCAGGCTTGACAGATAAACATTCCAAGTAGGGATTAATAATTTATTCTATATTAATAAACATACATATTTTCAAAGTTTCAATATACTGGTTTAGAGATATTCAAGATAATGTGTGAGGCTTTGTTAACAGGATGCCTATCACCTATTGAAGGGAAGATGGTGATTGATACATTACTATATAATATATGGATTGAAACATTAGTGTAATTAGTGTAATTGTTACTAAAAGTAATTATTACTTAGAGTAACTTCAAGTATACAGCATAAAGGATATTAAACATTGTCTTTCACTGAAATTGGTTACCAACAGCAGTATAAAAAGCCTGGGAAATATAAAGCAATGGGGAAAAAATCCAGATCCAGGAACATACATATATAATACTTCTTTTTAGAACCATACTTCTTTTTAGAACCATTTACTTAGAAATAAATAAATGGACATTTCTGCTGGTGTCCATCACATTCCTACTGGCTTTAAGGTTATTAAGAACTAGAGCTGCAATTCAGCTTCAAGTGTATGACATAGCTCTCCAGGTGTACAAAACATATTAGTTACTCAATAATGGCAGGATATAACCAGGAAAAAAAAATACTTTTTCAACATTATCTGCCCAGTGTATTGTAGAGCTTTTTCCATAACCCACTTTAATGTCTTGCTCTCTGTGATATTGGAGGAAAAGTATAAAAGTATTTATTTTGCAGAGCAAAATGTGTCCTGGAATATCTTATAACCTCACTTTCTAGCAGAAGTTCAGTCTGTTTGAGAATAATCTCATTTGCTTTTTATATTCAGACTGGGACCTTACCATCTCTAGGATAGATGCAAAATTTCTTTCAGCTGTCATTGCTTTATGCAGAAAATTGGCCTCCTGTTTTAGACCTCATAAATATGTATTTTAACACATTCTATGATGTTTTATGTTTTCTGCTATGTCTCGTTTGTTCTTGGTCACAAAACGATGCACACTCTTTTAACAGTTTAATCCTTAATGTGTTAGTATTTCAATACTTTAATCATAAACTAGTTTTAGTTTTAAATATTTAGATTTTTGGTATTCTATTTTTGTCTATAGCATTTAGAAGATTAAACAACTGTGTTTATTTCTGTTGATCTAGAAAATTTTTATCTTAACTTGAGCTTTGTAACTTCTTACAGAAATTATATAAATACTTATTAGTCACACTAATAAAGTGCTATTACACTCTTATTGCTTTAAGACCTGATAAACAGTGGGAACAAATTTATGAACCACTGAATCAAAAGTAAACAAAGAAGCAACACCATGTATAATAAATACTCTGTCTCTCCTTATGAAAATGCCAATGTTCCTGGAAAAAGAAGAAAAAATTGTTTTGCAGTGGGATAGGAAAATGGTAAAAGCACAGTTTGCTTTTATTTATTTTCTGGATGTTTTCCCCATTTCTATTTCATATTGACTTAGTTTAACAATTACCAATGTTTTCCTGTACAGATAGTCCTCAACTTATAACTGCAATCAGACTGGAATTTTGGTTTTAAGTCTTGCTGATCATAAATTGAAGCACCCATATTACCCGGCCCAATTTTATTATCCTTTTATGGAAATTATTAAGTGAATTATGTGGTCATAAATGTAAACCCATTCTTTCAAATGGAATTTTTTGCCAGACACCAGCAAACAATAACAGAAAGTGATTTTAAAAATTGCAAATGGATCATTTTGCTGTGGGATGCTGCAACCAGTCATAAATGTGAGCTGGTTACCAAGCTCCTGAAATATGGTCATGTGGTCCCAGGGGGATATGGCAGCAGACATTTTATCATGGCCAGAAGTGCTTCACGAGGCATACAGCACTCTTTCTGCAGCTATTGCAACTTGGAACAGTTATTAAATTACTGGTCATATATTGAGGATTTCTTGTATAGATATCACTATATTGCATCAAACATTGAGGGTACCTTATAAACCAGGACTTAGAAAGTTCACGTATACAGGGCTTTAATGACCAAAAGTCTTATGAAATCATCAAATATTACAAAATGTTGGTAATATCTACTCACCTATTCAGTATTCTATATTGGGACAAACGTGGAAAAAAATAAAAAATGTGTCAAATAAATCTGCTGAATCTGTCATCTGTTGATTTAGGACAGCACTCCTTTAACTTTCCCTAAACATTGATAATGAGATTATTTCTCCTTGTTTTTGATAGAGGCCACAAAGAGTTGAGAGGAAAATATACTCACCTATGTCTGTTGCTAGCTTTTATTCACGTTGAACAATAATGTAATAAGTGGCTTTCTCCTCCAGGGCATTAGTATATTGCCAGATAAACATCACTTAGTGTTATTCCCTCCATAAACCAGGAACATCTTACTGAGTGTGTGTATATATAACTCAATTCGTAATGTTTCAGTGTGTACACTTATTGACTAGATCAGGTTCACTGGCAGAGCAATTCTAGTAGTGAGGCTGTAAGAGCCAAAATTAGAAAATCTCTTATTCAAACTCTTACTGGGTTAATGCTGGCAGGTAAGATAAAAAGGTGGATTTCTATGGAGATTCTCAGTCACCCAGGTCATGGTTGTCCCAAAGGTGCTTTTTCAAAAGACAACAAGACTTGTTTTCTTTGAAAATGATTCACTTCCCCTCCAAGAAGCTGCTTCAGTTCTGTCTGAACTGAAGCAGCTTCTTGGATGAGAAGAGAAACATCTTCAAGGAAAAACAAAAAAAAGTCAAGTTGCCTTTTGAAAAAGTATCTTTGGAGCATAGAAGGATGAAGCGATGAGTTACTCTCTTTCTTTTAACATTTATTATCTTTGGTGGGGTAAAGCCATTTTTCACCTATTAATGCAAATGGGAGAAAATAATCTCTTTTATTGTGTAAGGCTAATATAGTTCTCCATCTTCTGACTCCAAGACTCTGAAGCAATATATGCTCCCAAATCACTTCCTTTTGGTGATCTCTGTTGGAACTATAATGCTGGAAAAGTATGGGATGCAGAACTTTCCATTGCGTCATGGAAAGAGCTTGAAAAGAAAGAGATCTGAAATATGCTATCATACTTAAAGTGCCTTCCAAGAACCAAAGAACAGAATGCTTGCTCTTAAAAATATAAGGGAAGTATTAGTTATATGTAAATGTGGGTAGCTTTCTGTTCTTAAAACTCATTATTTTGGAAGGTAGAACCTGTTTAAAGTTTTGTTTTTAAGCATAAGAAATGTTTGAAATCATTTTTTAGAGTTTTAAAATCTACAAAGTATTCTACATTATTCTATAAAGTTTTCAATGAAAAAATAAAATAGAAAACATACTGTGAATACTTCTGGTGATAATTGGGGGTGTGGGTGGCATGGTAGAAACATATTTTATTTCTGTGCAAGGAAAAGGATAAGGTTCATTTTCTCTCAGGTAGAATTTTAAAATACGGAATATTTCATCTATTTAAAGCCATTCATTCTTGGGCATTACAAATTTACAGAAACAATCATTCTAAAAAGTGAATGTATCTTCTTAAAAATAGTGTTAATGCATAGACTGCATTTTTCTCTGAAGTAGCACTTACTTATAGTACTTGAGTCTGAAGAGTGCTACTTATATATTTCAGTTGAATAAATAATTGGTTCTATTTATCACATAATAATCTGTGATTAAGCGATGTTGGATAGCCTTGTTCTAGAAGGGCATAGTCATCTTTATAATTCCAGAGAGTTAATCTTATATTTTCCAAACTCTTGAACTTTCCCTCTGAAATTCCCAGTTTGTACTGCCACTCATTCTGATTGACATCTCTGGCCAGAAGCACATTGGGCAAATCCACAGAATGTTTTTAGTTTCTTGGAACGCATGTCTATTTTCTTTTTAATCCAATCATCTATTTAAATGCTTGGTACATATTTAGCTATGTTTAAATTAGCAATATTTATATTTAATGCCTTTCTAGCTCTTGTTCACAAGCTTTTTGGTGCCCTGCTGGAGTGTCATGGTTGATGTCCGATTTATAAAAATTCAAGGTTTCTAGAATAATCAGATAGGAATCACACAAAGGCAAGGATAGGCATATTTCTTGAAAGAAAACATAACGGTACTTATCCTGAAAAATTGAGAATATTGTTTGAAATGTATTGCATTTCACATTCTATTAAAGTCAGATTCTGATTTTAATTCATTTTTTTATTAGCCCAGGCAACATTGGACAAAAAATAATTATTGCTTTATTAACATCAGCTATCTTCTAACAAAGGGAGTTTACCTCCCATGGGGAAAATCTTTGGGTACAACGTAATGCAGCAACAGACTTGTGTATGTTTGAAATTAAGAAAGAGATTTCTGTCTCTGAAAATGTTCAGATTTTCTTTGT